ATTTCGTGTTGGATTTTGCGGTTTCTCCGACAAGAGCTCTCGCTTTTTCTTTTTCTTTTTTTTTCTTTTTCGACTCTGCACGCGCCGACATTCGCTTAACTCATGGCGAAATGTACTACGAGTATAACGATCTTGATACGTTACAAATGTCAACTTGGGCATATGACGTCGCGCTCGAGCACAGGAGAAACCGACGTGGTGCAATGTCGAACGACATTGGGGTCGGGGGTTTAAGTCACTCGTGCGATGGCACTGACAGTGAATCCCGGTAGCGAACGGTCGGCGCACTTAACTTTTACCGACTTCCTGCTGCCGTGTGGTTTGTGGTTTTAAAGCACTCACGTAGCTGATCTAGGTCGAACAAGAAGAATGGTAACAATCTTGTACCGCGCGATTTTGGTCGAAATTCTCGGAAGATAATCGACACTTGACCCCAGAGTACTGAGAATAAGTAAAATGTATGTACAACATGTATAAAGTTAAAATTTATTTGAATCGGAATAAGTTTGAGTCTCTCTTTTAATGTTTTACTAAATACTTTGTACCAAATTATGATGATATTAACACTATAATAACATAATAACACTGCACAGCGTAATCAATTTTTATATCGAAAGTTAATTTTTAATATTCAGAAATATGTCACATGCGCGATTATTGCATGATTTAATAAAAAAAGTCTTGATAAAGTAGGCATGATTGTCAGTTTTTTACTTTTTGTTGTTTATTCAATTAGAAAAAAGAATATCAAGGGAAGGAAGATTGAAAAAAATATTAGAAGATAAAAATTAAAAACAAGATCATGCATTGAAAGAAACGATTTAAAATATAAGAAAGTCGATTTTTCAATACATTATCTTATTTATAATTTAATTATCTTTCGATTTTCTGAATAAATGTACACATGGCACGTGAGTCACTAAACTTTGCTATGTGTAATATTATTTTTTTCATTTTTGGAACAAACTTTACTTTATATATATGAGCGATTTAATACGAAAATTAGAACATGTTTATCACGATTTAAAATATAGAACAATTATTTAATTATCCGGAAACGTTGTCACGATCTGTCTTCTGATTTAAAATTGCGCTTTATTGCTCATGCGTATACAACTTGACATGCTTGATGAAATCATAGCGGGAATTTATTAGTTAAATTGAAATCGTTGAATAAAGCGTTGAATAATTTTCATGTATAAAATAATCGCATAAATCCTTTTTATACTTTTCTAATTCGGTGCATTCCAAACAGCGATATAAAACACACACATTATCAATTTCTTCCTGTTGTTAGATGTCCTTTGAAATATTATTTTTAACATTTAACAGCGTTAAATATATATATATATATATATATATCACGTGCGTTACAAATAATTTAATATTTAAGAGAGATATTTTTATATTTATGTATTTCACACTGAAATTTATTTCAGTTTAAAATTATCACACGCTCTTGGCAACATTCCACTTTTTTTAAGAGATTAAATTTGTGAAGAGACATTTAAATTGAGTTAATACATAACGTCGGATTAAAAGTGGCACGAGTAACGCGCGCGACAACTAACGTTTTGCCTCTTCCTGGGAGAACTGTCTCGTTGTAGGAACGGCACGAGCTTTAATAGCGTGTCTCTCGATTGATTTAAAGTAGGCTGCTTTGTCATAGTAGCATACGGCACAGATATATGTGGGTGCGTGAAAACGAGAGATCGGCTACAATTTAGTCTAACGCTCAGTATTTTACTCGATAATGACAAAGACAGGGGGTACAATTTGTATTGACTCGTACTTCATGAATATTTTTGGAACAAACTGGCTACACTGTTAAGATTTCTTACAATCATCTCTGATGAATAAAAATTTCATTTTTATCTTCTAATTTTATTATTCTACCAATGATGCGTAAATCTCTTAATTAATAGTATAATTTAAATGATTAGTAAATATAAATTAATTAATAAGTATAATTTAAGAAATTCTGCTGGAAATCATTTTCTAGAATTTTTGCTAATTATTTTTATAATACTTTAATTCTGATAGTGTTTTAGTGTTTTAGTTAAAGTTTGCAAAAAGTATTTAGTAAAGCGTAGAATTCAATGTTCAAAGTAGGCGGTATATGTGTGTTCCGAACGATATTCCAGTGATACATACACATATTTTATAGATCAAGTGTACTATTCTGGTATTCTAGGGGCAATTTTTCGATATTACTTGGAAACGAGATAAAGTTCTTGCAACTTATAACTCTTCCTTTAAACGCGTGTCTGATCGCTATGACAATACAAATTAGTTAACGAGGTAAATGCCTTTTACTATTTTATCTGATCTATAGCTGGTAAGGTACGTGACCGTGAGTTTATATTAGTTATCGAACTTGAAGCAAGACTGTTGTTTCTATTATTTATACAAAGTATACCGATAATAGAGATAAATCTTAAAAAATATTAGAACATCTAAATGGGAAAGGTTTTCTAATAAATTTCGCTACATTATTTTTGCATCTATTTAATTTCAATAAAATGTCAAAACATTAAAAATTGGAAATGTAGAAGGCAAAAAATAAAACATTGAAAATTAAAAATTATCGACATATATATTTATAATTAATTTTTGTCATTAACATTCTAACGACGTGTAAATTGTGCATGCAGTTTATTTATTTTTAATATCTTAAAATTAAACATATGACGTTATATAAAATAAATAATATGTATAAAATAAATAATTTGTGTCTCGTCAGTTTGATTAAAGTAAAGAGAATGCTGAAGCGGGTAGATCGAAATGTCTAAATCTTTTAGTTAGTAATTACGTGTGAGAAAAACAAATCGTGCGAATACCGCAATGCTATAGCAATGAAGTACAGAAATTTATCCCGTTGACTTCTACAAAATCCTGCTATTTCATTCCACTATCGAGTCACGTACCGTGGAGAAAATTCAACTTTTCTCGGCAAGTTCTCTTCAATGCCGAGATCGAGATTTATCTTTGAATTTACGCTAAAGCGCATATGCTGTATCAAATATTGTCATAATGGCTGTAAAAGCATATATAAAACTATAATAAATTATAAATACATCAAGAATTGTTCTAGTCATCATTCTTCGTTAATCGTTAATTAAATTTTAAATATTAAACACGGAGAACATTAATCACGTTTTAATTGTAATTATTCTACTCGACAAATATTCCAAAATCCAACAGTTAAAGTTAAGTTAAATCAAGAAATTATTGAATTATTCCCTAATATCTCTTTAATCATTTACGTTAAATTATAAGTAAAAGCAATTTTTTTTATTTAATTTTTTCATTATATCACGTGCCATTAGTGTTATCGTTAGTCATTTTAACAACTACAAATGAGAGACTCTATAATTTTGATTGATCGTGCCAGCTATCATGACTTTTACTTTTCTACGCAACGCAATACCAAACGGATACAATATCAACTTTTTTCGGAGAAGAGAATTTTGTACTTGATAAAACTAAATTCGAATATTTTTTTACGGAATCTCGATTGTTGCACTAACTCGACCGACCACGAACGACTGTAACTGTTGAAGGAAACGGTCGGCCAAACTCCATGCAAATTTCGAAGTTTTATACGAGGAAAAAGGACAAGCAGGCAGCTGTCTTCCCTGATAATATGTGAGTGTACATGGACAAGGGCGAGACGGTCGTCTATCATCGCTGTCGGAATGCCATTACGAGCGAAACGGCACCGACATAAAACTCACAGTTGATTAAAAGCTATAATTATACATAGGGAACGATCCATGAATATTTTTTTACAATATAACATGAGGACACAGTGTATGACAAATTGACAAAGGAATGCTTTATTACTTGACGAGAACGAAAGCGGAGGGGAGGGGGATAGGAATGATCGATGGATGATTCAAATTGATCTGTATTACATACGTAAGAAAGAAACGTCCCAAAATTTGAGATATGAATAAAAACAGGTATGCCGTATCGTGAACTAAAAAATGGGGAATTGTAAGTTACGACAAGAGCGTGAGCATTGTCTCGATTTGTTGAATATATTCGAACTTCCGTACAAGGACACGGAAATATTTTACGCATAAATTATATGAAATTATATACCGCGATTATGTCGGGGAAAAAAATAGCAAAGTTATTGCTACGAAAGAGCGGGCATTCGGGATGTCTGCTTTGCTTCGATCGATATTATATTGAAATATTCACAAGTAACTCGATTGGCGTGAGTGCACAGCCGCGCGTTGCAAGGTAAAGCACGGAATAATAGAAAATGACGATTGTTGAGTACTTTTGCCTATATGTGCTTCCAACATCGATGACTGCAGCGTTCGCCC